CAAACTTAGCACACAGGGCTCCCATGACCAACAGAAAAAACTGGAAGGGTTTGGTGGACATTGACCTTGAGTTTGGGAGTTGTAGTTCACCTACATCCAGAGAGCACTGTGGACTCAAACAATGATGGATCTGGACCAAACTTGACACAAATATTCCATATGCCCAAATATGAACACAGATGGAGTTTGGAGGAAATAGACCTTGACATTTGGGATTTGTACTTACTGGGATTTATAGTTCACCTACAATCAAAGAGCATTCTGAACTCCACCAATGATGGAATTGAACCAAATATACAGGACTTCCATGACCAACAGAACACACTGGAAGGGTTTGGTGGGCATTGACCTTGAGTTTGGGAGTTGTAGTTCACCTACATCCAGAGAGCACTGTGGACTCAAACAATGATGGATCTGGACCAAACTTGACACAAATATTCCATATGCCCAAATATGAACACAGATGGAGTTTGGAGGAAATAGACCTTGACATTTGGGATTTGTAGTTACTGGGATTTATAGTTCACTACAATTAAAGAGCATTCTGAAACCCACAAATGGGGCAAACTTCCCACACAGAACCCCCATGACCAACAGAAAATACTTAAGGCCATCCAGTCCAACTCTCTTCACCAGGGCAAGAAAATGTAATCAGAGCCCTCCTGACAAAGAGCCATCCAGCCATAAATATAGACAGACAGATATGATTCTCTCACACACACACAGATATAGTATCATAGATTTGAAAGAGACCCTTAACTAAGGACTATGATATGTTGTATATTCCTGAGTAGGCAAACCAGACACTCTTCACATCAACAGTGACAAAGAAACAACAAGAAATACTGTTTACTCACAAGCATAAAGGAATTACATATATTAGAAACCAACACTTTCTCATTACTTTATTTTCCAGATCACCAGACTGGGCCACAGCAACGCATGGCAGGGGACAGCTAGTAATTACCATAAAAAGACTACCGTATTTTCCGGTGTATTCGTCGATTTTTTAACCCTGGAAAATCTTATGAAAAATCCAACTCCCTTAGCAGCGCAGCCTGAGAAGGGGAGGAGGAGGAGGGTGGAGGGAAGGAGGGTGTGTGAAGGAGGAGTGACGGGCCTCATTGCCACGGAGACTCTCTGGGGGTGATGGCCCGATGGGCTGTCCCCTCTGCCACCGTCGCTCTCACCGTTCTACTTCTCCACTCCCGCCACTCTCCTCCTCTGAAGGGCACTGGGCTTGCCTAGGCCAAAGGAAGCACCTCTTGACTATGACTCTCAGCAGCCCGAGGCGACGGCATACCTTGATGTGCCCGCTGAGGCATTCTAGGAGTTCGGGAACTACAACTCTTACCACCACCACAGTACCACCACCACAGTTTAAAATCCAACTTACCCTACGCCACACTTATGAGATTAAAACGAAACACCACTTCCCCCGAGGAAGTCATACTAGAGGTAATTACTTTTGAGAAACAATTCAAAGAAAGAGGGTACCCTACAAGAGTCATCAATACTGCCATTAGAAAAGTTAAGTCCAAAGATAGAAATTATTTATTATTATTATTAAACTTTATTTGTACCCCGCTAGCATCTCCCGAAGGACTCGATGCGGCTTACAAAGGCCAAGGCCTCAACACAACAACAGCACAACAAAACAACTCAAAGCAAAATCAAAAATATAAAGCAATAACAACAAAACATTACATCGTGACACAGTAAAAAGTAGGGCCGGGCCAAGTAATGGGTACAGAATTAAAAAGTGCTGGGTGTGACAGGTGGTATGTTGGATTTCAGGGTAAGTGCAATGTGCAGAGAATCTTAAAATTCTAATAAAGTGCTTCTGGGACAAATGCTGGAGTTTTCCTATTCTGGAAAGGCACATCGGAATAGCCAGGTCTTCAAACTCTTCCTAAAGATTGCCAACGTGGGTTCTACTCTGATGTCTTTGGGGAGGGTATTCCAAAGTCGGGGGGCAACCACAGAAAAGGCCCTGTCCCTCGTCCCCACCAAACGCGCCTGCGACGCAGGTGGGATCGCAAGCAGGGCCTCTCTCTGAACGAAGGGAGCGCGTGGGTTCGTAGATGGAGATGCGGTCCCGCAGGTAGGCAGGTCCCAAACCGTTTAGGGCTTTGTAGGTAAGCACCTGCACCTTGAATTGGGCTCGGAAGGTAAACGGCAGCCAGTGGAGCTCCTTAAACAGGAGGGTTGACCTCTCTCTGTAAGAGATGCAGTGAGAAAACCTAATGACCGTATTATATGGCCACTGATGTTAACCCCATATTCTCCACACATCAACAAAAGAATTAGAAAACACTGGCACTTGGTCAGCAATACTCCAGGATGCAAGAATGTACCAATGATAGTGAATAAACAAACCAAAAATCTCAGAGACATGATGATCAGATCCGACTTCACAACCCCCTATACTATTAGCAAATCTAATCTCAGGTGCCACAGGAGTTGTGAGCATTGTGCATGTTACACTCAATCTCTTAAATTAAAATAGTTCTCACAGCCCACGATGCAACTCAACATACAACTTCGTAGTTTCACAAACTGCAATACAGATAAAGTGATCTATGTAATACAGTATCCATGTTCACTGCTATACATAGTTATGACCTCCAGACCTTTAAAAACTAAAATTCTTGAACATAGATCTCGCATTAGAAATAAAGCCACTGACTCTACTCTTTATTCCCATTTCAGTGGGAAATCCCACTCATACACTAGTTTCAGATTTTGTGCTTTAGAAAAGATAACCACGCAACCCCATCAAGATTTTAAAAGAATTTTAAAATCTTAATTTGATGAAGTAGCAACCTGAGGAAGGGAAGTTTTCCTGAAACAAGGTTAATAATACCCTTGTAGTTGCTATTATCATGTACATCAAAATAATTTCTACAATTGCTATCATCACGTACTTGTCAGGTATTTTTACAACTGGTATCCACATGGGACTGAACTTTAATTGCTTAACATTTCACAGAAGAAACATAGTCTGAACTTTTGTTTAATAACATTCCAAAGAGGAAATAACGAGGAACTGTGGAGAACTCACATTTTGTGGATGAGAACTTATTGTTTAATGTTTACCATAGATGTTTTTCTTGATTGATGTTTATATGTATTTTGCCCACTCCAGACTAGGAAAAGCCCTCTGACTTTAAACACCACACAGCTGAGTAGAAAAGCAATCCATTTATTGAAGATAATTAAAAAGCAGTAAAGTAAAAAGCACTTTAAAGGAATACGTAAATCCAATTAGGTAGGACAATAAGCTGAAAGAAAATAGTCCAGGGAATTAGTCCATCAAAGTTCAGGAAAAACAAAGGCAGGAACTTCTATAGTAAAATCCAAAAAAACTGGAAACATGAATCCAAGGCACATAATCATAAAATCCAAGAATTAAAAAACATGAATCAAAGGCACTTAAACAAGAATCTTTCCAAAGCAAGGCTTCCAAGGAACAGGGATGAGATCTTGACTTGATTCCAAACGATGCTTTATCTGACTACAGATCCTATACTTGGCACTTTTATCTCCTCGTTAAGCTATGTCCCAAGCAGCCAGAAATTGGTTTCGCTTTAGCCTTGAATCCCTTATCTTTCTTTCTCTGAGCCTGGCAGAACGCCTGAACCACTGATCTGCTTTCCTATTTTGACTAATAACACCCTGTCTATCTATTTGCTCATTAATTTGTGCAGTTGGGCCAGGTGCCGAGCTGTTCTCAAACTCCAAATCATGGGAATTCTCTGGCAGCAATTCAGGAAGCACACATCATCCCCACACCCTTCAGGTGTGTTCAAATACACTTTGAACAGGGATCTCCTGGTCATTCTCTGCATCAATATCATTGGAAAAACCATTAGCTTCATGAACCTCATTGTCATCATTCCCCACATCCAAAGCACCCTGATCCTTAAACACAATCACAGGCTGAGCTCCAACGGGTATTGATACTAATTATAAACTTACTGTACATATTATATGCATTGCATAAATCAGTGTTATAATTGATTAAGTTACAGAACAACTTAATGCTTACACAGAGATATATAGATATCTGTTTATAGATTAAAAATGAGGCAGGATATGTAATATTAGATAGATAGATAGATAGATAGATAGATAGATAGATAGATAGTAGGCTTCGGCGGTTTCGTTCGTTAATTTCGTAATTCATTATTAATTCGTATTTAAATTAGCTTACGATCCAATATTGAGCCATGCAGGAGTAATTAAAAATCAAAACAATTTTTTCAATTTATTTCGTAATTGTTTCGTAATTGTTTCGAAATTGTTTCGTAATTATTTCCGTATGTCTGGTGCAAGTTTTAGGGTTGTTGTTTGTTTTATCAGTGATAAAAAATAAATTATCACACCAACAGTCAACAACAGAGGGAGAGGGAAGCTTCAGAAGTTCCCCCTGTCCCATTTGGAGGGTTTTTTAGCATATTGCGCAATTGCGCCCGCCATTAACGAATCGATTCGTAATTGTTTCGTAATTGTTTCGTAATTTTACGAAATTTTTTAAAGAAACATTTCGGAATTCTTTTAAAAAACGAAACGCAAAAACCCCCTAAAAACGAAACGAGTTTAGAACCAAATTTTTCCGTAGTTACCCAAGCCTAATAGATAGATATAGGGATAAATAAGATAGATAAGAGAGAGATAAAATATAGATTTAAAAAGTCAGGATATGTAATAGATCAAAAGAGATACATAGATATATTAAAAATTAGGAAGGGTATGTAATATTGGGAGGGGGGGAGCAAGGCCTGTCCTTCCCTGTTTGAGAAAGGCAGGAAATATGGCACGTTTATTCTGCAAATAATGACAGATGAATGACAGATAAATAATGAAGTCACTCCACGCTAAAAACACGTGTGTTGTGTGCCATCCCCTCCCCTGTAAATATTAACACAGAAGCCAGGAAATAATCTCAGAAATAATGACATGCGTAAAAACACAAAACAAAACCAAACAACTCCTACCCAGAAATGGCTGGTGAAATAGGACATCTTGGCGGGTTCAAGGCCTGGCTTCAGTGCTAGGGCATCTAAAGTGGGGGGGGGGGGGACACAACAACAACATGTAAACAACAACACACAACAGCCCTCTCCTCCTTCCCTGCTGACAAAAGGAGGAAGCCAAAGGAAAATGTGATTTTCCCACAAGGCATTGCAAAGTTAATACATACATATATTTCTATGCACCATATATATATATATATATATATATATATATATATATATATATATATATATATATATATATATATATATATATATATATATATATATATATATAATTTCGTTGTGTGTGTGTGTGTATATATATATAATTCTATGCACTATTATATATCTATTATTATATATTTCATTGTTTATATACATTTATTTTTCTACGCACATACCTATTATTACATTATAAGCTATCTACTACTATATAACTCTTATTACTATTGTATTGTTATATATATATATATATATATATATATATATATATATAATTATACCACTACTGTTAATAACAAATTGAATGACAATAAAAATATAATAATTATAGTATTACTATTACTAAGTAATATAATAATAATACAATTGTCATACTAATAATAATAGTACTACTAGTACTATTAATAATAAACATAATAATGACAATAAATATAATATAATATATTATAGATATATAATTTCGTTGTGTGTGTGTGTATATATATATATATAATTCTATGCACTATTATATATCTATTATTATATATTTCATTGTTTATATACATTTATTTTTCTATGCACATACCTATTATTACATTATAAGCTATCTACTGCTATATATCTCTTATTACTATTGTATTGTTATATATATTTATATATATTATATTATATACATAATTATACTACTACTGTTAATAACAACAAATATAATAACAATAAAAATATAATAGTTATAGCATTACTATTACTAAGTAATATAATAATAATACAATTGTCATACTAACTAGCCATCCCCTGCCACGCGTTGCTGTGGCCCAGTCTGTGTATATGTGTTTTGTGTATATATATATGTGTGTGTGTATATATATGTATGTTTGTGTGTTTATATATATGTGTGTGTGTGTGTGTATTTGTGTGTTTATATGTGTACATGCATATTGTGTATATGTGTGTGCATGTATATATGTATATATGTATGTGTGCATGTATATGTACATGTTTATATATATGTGTGTGTGTATACGTATATGTATGTGTGTATATGTGTGTATATGTGTATATTTGTGTGTGTTTGTGCATATGTGTGTGTGTGTGTGTATGAATGTGTGCATGTGCATATGAATATGTGTGTATGTATATATATGGTGTATTTTGGGGGTTTTAATTTATTTATTTTAATTTATTTATTTACATCACTTATATCCCGCCCATATCAGCCCGCAGACAACTCAGGGAGGTCTACATATCGGCACAATTCGATGCCATCAATACAATACAAAGTCTGCTCCACTGGGGTTTTGTGTGTGTGCATGTGCGCACGTGTGTATTTATGGGTGATGGACACTCGTTGGACTGTTAGGTGTATTGTGTCCAAATTTGGTGTCAATTCGTCCAGTGGTTTTTGAGTTATGTTAATCCCACAAACGAACAGAACATTTTTATTTATATAGATAATAATAGTACTACTAGTACTATTAATAATAAACATAATAATGACAATAAATATCATAATTATACTACTAATAGTAGTAACACTACTACTAATAAATATAATAAAATAAATATAATAATAAATAAACATAACAATAAATAGGTTCTTGTGGGTTTTTTCGGGCTATAGAGCCATGTTCTAGAGGCATTTCTCCTGACGTTTCGCCTGCATCTATGGCAAGCATACTCTCACTCTGAGGATGCTTGCCATAGATGTAGGAGAAACGTCAGGAGAAATGCCTCTAGAACATGGCTCTATAGCCCGAAAAAACCCACAAGAACCTAGTAATTCCAGCCATGAAATCCTTCGACAATAACAATAAATAAATAATATGATTATATTACTAATAATAAATATAATAATTATACTACTAATAATAATAACAAATGATAAAAATGTTATAACAATAAACATAATAAGTATAATAATAATAGTAATAGTAATAATAATTATACTTATTACTTAATAGTAATAATAATTATACTTATTATAATAAGTATAATAATAATTATACTACCACTACTACTACTACTACTACTAATAATAATAATAATAATAATAATAATATACCGAAAGGCGTTGAAAGGTCATCCTCTTTGGTGCAGACGATGATCCTAAAGAAGAAGGAGGAAACAAGGGATTTATACCCAGTCCTTGAAACAAACAAACAAGAAAATGGGCCCTTTCAGAAGCTGCCTCTGCAAAAAGCAGCAGAAGAGGAAGAGGAAACCACAACCTTTCGGCTTTGAAAACATCCAAAATCAAGTAAGAGCCAAGGACAAGAATAACATGTAATAATAATAATAATAATAATAATAATAATAATAATAATAATACACTTGGGAAGTGTCGTGCGATCCAATACAACCGCCAGCATCGTGATCTTGTTTGCTGTGTACTAATCTTGTTGTGCTTCAAATAATAATAATAATAATAATAATAATAATAATAATAATAATAATAATAATATAAAAAACCAGTAAAGGACCACCCAGCGGTGATCGGCATACTGGGTGCAGTGCCTAAAGACCTTGGTCAGCACTTGAAAACAATCGGTGCTGACAAAATTACCATCTGCCAGCAGCAAAAGGCCATCTTACTTGGATCTGCACGCATTATTCGCCGATACATCACACAGTCCCACACACTTGGGAAGTGTCTGACGTGTGATCCAATACAACAGCCAGCAGAGTGATCTTGTTTGCTGTGTCCTAATCTGGTTGTGTATCTAATAATAATAATAGTTCCCAAGACTTCACATGGCCACAATGTATATATACATACACACAAACACATGTATGCACACACACACATATACTGTATAATAGTAATATACATAATAAATAATAACACGACTATATAATATAATAACGACAATAATTATCATTATATTGCTACTAATAATAAATATTATTAGTAGTAATAATTATAGTAATAATAGTGTTCCCAAAAATTCACATGGCCATAATTACACACTCACACACACACACACATCTATATATATATAACTAAATAATAAAGTCAGTGTTTCTATGTATGCGGTGGTGCGGGTATGTGGCAGCTTTGTGATTGGTTGCCATTTCCATAGGCTACTGCGACCCCCCACAATTGACGGACCTGGACCAAACTTGGCACATGGTTTAGGGGAAGACAGACCATGGATGATGGGATCTGCAGTACTTCCAAACACGTAAGCTTTCAAAGACCACTGCGACCCCCACCAATGACAGATCAAGACCAAAGTTGGCATATAGAGCCCTCATGACCCACTTTACAACCTGGTGTAGTTAGGGGGAGGATGGACCATGGATAATGGGATTTACAGTGTCTTCACCCAATTCACTTCCCACAGAACACTGTGGTCCCCAAAAATCAGAGACCTGGACTAAACTTGCCACTCAGACCCACCATGACCCACTTTAAATCCTGGTGAGGTTTGGGGGACATAGGTCAATGGATGATAGGAGATGCAGTACCTTCACTCACTTCCTGAAACTACTACAAGTCCCAATAATGATGAATCAGGGCTAAACTTGGAACACAGAGCCCCCATGACCCACTCTACATCCTGGTGCAGTTTGGAGGAGGATGGACTATGGATGATGGGACTTGCAGTAACTTCACTCACTTCCTGAGACCACTGCAACCTTCACCAATGCCTGATCAAGATGAAGCCTCGCACACTGAGCCCTCATGACCCACTCTACATCCTGGTGCTATCGGGAGGAGGATAGACCATGGACAATGGGACATGCAGTACCTTCACTCATTCCTGAGAGCACTCTGACCCAAACCAATGACTGACTCAGACCAAACTTGGCACACAGAATCCCCATGATCCACTCAACATCCTGGTGTGGTCTGGAAGAGTTTGGACCATGGATGATGGGACTTGCAGTATCTTCACTCACTTCTTGAGATGACTGCGACCCACACCAATGACTGATCAAGCTCAAACTTGGCAAGCAGAGCCACTCTACATCCTGGTGTGGTCTGTGGGATGACGGAGCATGGATGATGGGACTTGCAGTACCTTGACACACTTCCTGAGACAACTGTGATCCACACCAATGACCGATCAAGACCAAACTTGACATACAGAGCCCCCATAATCCACTCTACATCCTGGTGTGGTCTGTGGGATGACGGACCATGGATGATGGGACTTGCAGTACCTTGACACACTTCCTGAGACCACTGTGATCCACACCAATGACTGATCAAGACCAAACTTGACATACAGAGCCCCCATAACCCACTCTACATCCTGGTGTGGTCTGTGGGATGATGAGATTTGCAGTACCTTGACACACTTCCTGAGACCACTGTGATCCACACCATTGACTGATCAAGACCAAACTTGACATACAGAGCCCCCATGACCAAATCAACATTTTGGTGTGGTTTGGACAATGGGACTTGCAGTACCTCGACACACTTCCCGATACTAATAAATAATATAATCAATAAAATAACAATAGTATCATAAAAATAATAATGACAATAAAAAGAATAATAAAGATAATATGAAATGGGACTGTTGTGTATGAATGCTCCCTCCCCACTAGACCATATAAGATATTTGTATACTAATAAATAATACACAGAATGTTGTTTTGACGATAGATAGACGATAGACAATGCAGGGAGCGTATGAGTATGCAAAAAAACGTGCACGCCACAATTGTTATGCAAATATATGCAAATAAGGTGCACACTTCCTGTCCTTACTCTCTCTCTATATATATACATACACATGCAAAAAAGGTACAATTAGACCAATCTATGTAACTAAGATGCACACTTCATGCCATTGCAATATACACACACACACATAGATTAGCATGCAAAAAATATTGAAAACCACCATATCAGATGCACTTCATGTCATTACAATATATATATATATATATATATATATATATATATATGTATTGTAATGACATGAAGTGTGCATCTGATATGGTGGTTGTCAACACACACACACACACACACCAAAAATGTACAATCAGACAAATCTATGCAAATAAGATGGACATTTCATGCCCTTGCAACACACACACACACATATGGATGCATAAGATATTGCAAACCACTATGATAATGTACATCTATGCAAATTAGATGCACATACTAGTATATATGTGTGTGTATGCACCTTTGCAAACCCCCTCCCTTTCAAGGCCCCAATGAGGGCTAATGAAGCCCCCTCCCTCTCTCCCTCCCCGCAGTGGTGGGGGTGTGTCCCGGCCCCCGACCTGTCGCGCGCCGATCCCGCACCTGCGCCGCGTCCTCTGCACACAAAACCAGGCGGGGAGCGGGCACAGCCAGCCCCCCCACCCCTGCGGAGCACAAGCGCTCCTGATTGGCCTGCCCCGCTGGGCTTATTTGCATGGTTAAAGGAGAAGCGGCCCTATTTCCCTCCCGCTATTGGTGTGCGCTTCTGCGCAGGCGCGTACAGGCCTTCCTTACATTGTCTTGTATTTACATTTATATGCTGCCCTTCTCACCCCGGAGGGGACTCAGAGCGGCTTACAAGATATATATACATACAATATATTATATTATTAGCATAGTACAATATCAGTATTATATATTACTATATCATACTATACCATTATATTGTAATATTGTTAGTAATATTACATGTAATATAAAATATATAAATATATATGAAGAGATCAAGAGAAGGTGGCGAGACTATACAAAAGATCTGTATAGGAAGGATAATAATATTGAGGATAGTTTGGACGGTGTGGTGAATGAATTAGACCAGACATCCTGAGGAGTGAGGTTGAATGGGCCTTAAGAAGCATTGCTAACAACAAGGCAGCAGGAGACGACGGGATCCCAGCTGAACTGTTTAAAATCTTAAAAGATGATGCTGTCAAGGTGATGCATGCCATATGCCAGCAAAAATGGAAAACACAAGAATGGCCATCAGACTGGAAAAAATCAACTTATATCCCCATACAAAAAAAGGGAAATGCGAAAGACTGCTCAAACTTCCACAGTGGCCCTTATTTCTCATGCCAGTAAGGTAATGCTCAAGATCCTGCAAGGAAGACTCCAGCAATACATGGAGCGAGAGTTGCCAGATGTTCAAGCTGGGTTTAGAAAAGGCAGAGGAAAGAGAGACCAGATTGCCAATATCCGCTGGATAATGGAGAAAGGCAGGGAGTTTCAGAAAAACATCTACTTCTGCTTCATTGACTATTCTAAAGCCTTTGACTGTGTGGATCATAATAAATTGTGGCAAGTTCTTGGTGGGATGGGCATACCAAGCCACCTTGTCTCTCTCCTGAGGAATCTGTACAAGGACCAAGTAGCAACAGTCAGAACTGACCACGGAACAACAGACTGGTTCAAGATTGGGAAAGGCGTACGGCAAGGCTTCATACTCTCACCCAACCTTTTTAACTTGTATGCAGAACACATCATGCGATGTGCGGGGCTTGATGAATGCAAAGCTGGGGTGAAAATTGCTGGAAGAAACATTAACAACCTCAGATATGCAGATGACACCACTCTGGTGGCCGAAAGCGAGGAGGAGCTGAAGAGCCTTCTAATCAAGGTGAAAGAAGAAAGCGCAAAAGCTGGGTTGCAGCTAAACATTAAAAAAAACCAAGATTATGGCAACAAGAATGATTGACAACTGGAAAATAGAGGGAGAAAACGTGGAGGCCGTGACAGACTTTGTATTTCTAGGTGCAAAGATTACTGCAGATGCAGACTGTAGCCAGGAAATCAGAAGACGCTTACTTCTTGGGAGGAGAGCAATGTCCAGTCTCGATAAAATAGTGAAGAGTAGAGACACCAGACTGGCAACAAAGATCCGCCTAGTCAAAGCCATGGTATTCCCTGTAGTCACCTACGGATGTGAGAGCTGGACCTTAGGGAAGGCTGAGCGAAGGAAGATCGATGCTTTTGAACTGTGGTGTTGGAGGAAAGTGCTGAGAGTGCCTTGGACTGCGAGAAGATCCAACCAGTCCATCCTCCAGGAAATAAAGCCCGACTGGTCATTGGAGGGAAAGATACTAGAGACAAAGTTGAAGTACTTTGGCCACATCATGAGGAGACAGCAAAGCCTAGAGAAGACAATTATGCTGGGGAAAGTGGAAGGCAAAAGGAAGAGGGGCCGACCAAGGGCAAGATGGATGGATGGCATCCTTGAAGTGACTGGACTGACCTTGAAGGAGCTGGGGGTGGTGACAGCCGACAGGGAGCTCTGGCGTGGGCTGGTCCATGAGGTCACGAAGAGTCGGAGACGACTGAACGAATGAACAACAACAACAACAAAATATATAATTATAATATTACATTATTATTAGTATTATATTGTATTACATTATATTATAAATATTATATGTATATACATTACATTAGGTTCTTGTGGGTTTTTTCGGGCTATAGAGCCATGTTCTAGAGGCATTTCTCCTGACGTTTCGCCTGCATCTATGGCAAGCATCCTCAGAGGTAGTGAAGTCTGTTGGAATTAGGACAATGGGTTTATATATCTGTGGAATGGCTGGGGTGGAGCAAAAGAGCTCTTCTCTGCTGGAGCTAGGTGTGAATGTTTCAACTGACCACCTTCATCAGCATTTGAAGGCCTGGCTGAGCCTGGGAAAAATCCCATGCTGAGAGGTGTTAAGATGTGCCTGGTTGTTTCCTCTCTGTTGTTTTGCTGTTGTAATTTTAGAGTTTTTTAATACTGGTAGCCAGATTTTGTTCATTTTCATGGTCTCTTCCTTTCTGTTGAAATTGTCCACATGCTTGTGGATTCCAATGGCTTCTCTGTGTAGTCTGACATGGTGGTTGTTGGTGTGGTCCAGCATTTCTGTGTTCTCAAATAATATGCTGTGTCCAGGCTGGTTCATCAGGTGCTCTGCTATGGCTGACTTCTCTGCAGACTCCTTCAACCAGAGAAGTCAGCCATAGCAGAGCACCTGATGAACCAGCCTGGACACAGCATATTATTTGAGAACACAGAAATGCTGGACCACTCCAACAACCACCATGTCAGACTACACAGAGAAGCCATTGAAATCCACAAGCATGTGGACAATTTCAACAGAAAGGAGGAGACCATGAAAATGAACAAAATCTGGCTACCAGTATTAAAAAACTCTAAAATTACTACAGCAAAACAGCAGAGAGGAAACAACCAGGCACATCTTAACACCTCTCAACAGAACATTTTCCCAAGCTCAGCCAGGCCTTCAAATGCTAATGAAGGTGGTCAGCTGAAACATTCACACCTAGCTTCAGCAGAGAGCTCTTTGCCCCACCCCAGTCATTCCACAGATATATAAACCCATTTTCCTATTTCCAACAGACCTCACTACCTCTGAGGATGCTTGCCATAGATGCAGGCGAAACGTCAGGAGAAATGCCTCTAGAACATGGCCCTATAGCCCGAAAAAACCTACAAGAACCTAGTGATTCCAGCCATTAAAGCCTTCGACAATACATTACATTACATTATATTATAAACATCGATCTTCTATCTAGCTATCTATCTATCTTCTATCTATCTATCTTCTATCTATCTATCTATCATCTATCTATCTATCTTCTATCTATCTATCTATCTATCTTCTATCTATCTAGTATCTATCTATCTATCTATCTATCTATCTATCTATCATCTTCCTATCTATCTATGTATCTATTTTCTAATCGACCTATCTATCTATCTATCTATCTATCTATCTATCTATCTATCTATCTATCTATCTATCTATCTATCTATCTATCTATCTATCTATCTATCTATCTTGCTATCTATCTATCTATCTATCTATCTATCTATCTATCTATCTATCTATCTTCTATCTAGCTATCTATCTGTCTATCTGTCTATCTTCTATCTATCTTCTGTTGTTGTTGTTCATTCGTTCAGTCGTCTCCGACTCTTTGTGACCTCATGGACCAGCCCACGCCAGAGCTCCCTGTCGGCCGTCACCACCCCCAGCTCCTTCAAGGTCAGTCCAGTCACTTCAGGATGCCATCCATCCATCTTGCCCTTGGTCGGCCCCTCTTCCTTTTGCCTTCCACTTTCCCCAGCATAATTGTCTTCTCTAGGCTTTGCTGTCTCCTCATGATGTGGCCAAAGTACTTCAACTTTGTCTCTGGTATCCTTCCCTCCAATGAGCAGTCGGGCTTTATTTCCTGGAGGATGGACTGGTTGGATCTTCTCGCAGTCCAAGGCACTCTCAGAACTTTCCTCCAGCACCACAGCTCAAAAGCATCGATCTTCCTTCGCTCAGCCTTCCCTAAGGTCCAGCTCTCACATCCGTAGGTGATTACAGGGAATACCATGGCTTTGACTATGCGTATCTTTCTTGCCAGTGTGATGTCTCTACTCTTCACTATTTTATCGAGATTGGACATTGCTCTCCTCCCAAGAAGGCGTCTCCTGATTTCCTGGCCTAATCTGCCATCTATCTTATCTATCTATCTATCTATCTATCTATCTATCTATCTTTCCATCTATCTATCTATCTATCTTCTATCTATCTATCTATCTATCTATCTTCTATCTATCTATCTTCTATCTATCTTCTATCTATCTTTATCTATCTTCTATCTATCTATCTATCTATCTATCTATCTATCTATCTATCTATCTATCTATCTATCTTCTATCTATATAAATGCTCTCTGCATAATGAGTTCCCTAAAAACAGAAGAACCAATAAACAAAATCACACCAAATTTGGCAGCAAAACGTCTCACAACACAAGGAGTGACCATCACTCAAAAAATTATGATTTTGTCATTTGGGAGTTGTAGTTGCTGGGATTTATAGTTCACCTACAATCAAAGAGCATTCTGGACTCCACCAATGATGGAATTGGGCCAAACTTAGCACACGGGGCTCCCATGACCAACAGAAAATACTGGAAAGGTTTGGTGGACATTGACCTTGAGTTTGGGAATTATAGTTCACCCACATCCAGAGAGCACTGTGGACTCAAACAATGACGGATCTGGACCCAACTTGGCACAAATATTCCATAGGCCCAAATATGAACACAGATGGAGTTTAAGGGAAATAGACCTTGACATTTTGGGAGTTGTAGTTGCTGGGATTTGTAGTTCACCTACAATCAAAGAGCATTCTGAACTCCACCAAAGATGGAATTCAACCAAACTTGGCATACAGGACTCCCATGACCAACAGAAAAAACTGGAAGGGTTTGGTGGGCATTGACCTTGAGTTTGGGAGTTGTAGTTCACCTACATCCAGAGAGCACTGTGGACTCAAACAATGATGGATCTTATTTATTTATTTATTTATTTATTTATTTATTTATTTATTTATTTAAAAGGATCTGGACCAAACTTGAC